CGCTGGCCCGGTTCGTCGGGAGCGGGCCGCTCTGGGGCGGGATGGAGTCCACGGCCGAGATATGCCGGAAGAGCTGGTGGAGGACCGTCTTCTATCTCTTCAACATCGAGATCGATGGGGAGTATGGCTCCTGCGTGGGACAGGTAAAAAAAAAAGACATAAAAAATGAAAAATATAAGTTTTGAAAATAAGAGAAATGTAAATAAAATAAAGGAAGGTAAATTAAATAAGAATAAAAATCTAATATATATTCTTAAATACGTGAACAAAAATGGATGATACAACGTCTTTTGGCATCTCTTCTCTAATCTCTCTTATCACCTTAAAGTCTCCTCTAATCCCCCGTTTCTTCCACGCAGACGTGGTACTTGGCGTGCGATATGCATATGTATTGGGCCAGTCCTTTTCTGGTGGTACCCCTTTTCTATATGCCCATGTATGTCGCCCTGGGTTACCTGAGCATGGTCCTCTTGGGCATGGGCTTCGTCTGGCCCAGCATCCTCTACAGGAACAACGACTTCCCTGCCACCATCATTCCGAACCAGCTCATAGACTCTCCAGACTTCTCGACCAAGGCGTACTTCGCCACTCATGTGAGGTCGGGGCCCTATATCGTGGGTATCATACTCGGTTACATTCTCTTCAAGTTCAAGGACAGGAAGATCCAACTTCGCAAGGTACAGGCCAAAGACAATTTAAATAAATTTAACTCTCTAGGAATTTGAAATAAAAAAATGAAATGAAACCCGAATGCTTCTGACTTTGTCCAGGAGGTGGTATGGCTCGGATGGGCTCTGTCTACTGGGGTGGCGCTGGCCATTCTGTACGGCCTGAAAGAACCGTTCAGGTTTGGTGGTAAAAAGCTGACGCCTGAGATGGCTGCTTTCTATGGAGGCGTTCATCGGACGGTCTGGGCCATGTGCATCGCCTGGGTCGTCTTCGCCTGCGTTCACGGCTACGGAGGTGACATGTCGATTGCCTAGGCTTATAGGCTCTATCACGTGCTGATTTTGCACATATATGAATGCTCCCATCTGAGCTATGAGCTCGTGTAATCAGGGCCTATGAGCAGCTCATAGGTACACATACGAGTGGGATACCAACTCATGACCCTGATTACACGAGCTCATAGCTCAGATGGGAGCATTCATATACTGTATGAGCAAAATCATTGCGTGTGATGGAAACCTTCGAGTCTATCAAAGCAGTACGAAGAGTTGAAAAACAAGCAAACCTTCAACTATCGTGAAGGTTACTGAAGGAGAAACCGTTTTCCATTTCAGGGTTCGTGAATACGCTGCTGTCGTGGAAGGCCCTGATGCCTTTCAGTCGCCTCACATACTGCAGCTACCTCCTATCTTTGAACATACAGCTCATCTATCAAGGAAGCAGGAAGGCCGTCATGTACATGGACCACCCGCAAATGGTGAGCGTCGCAACATCCACCGCGAATCAGTCATTGTGAATGATTTTGAAAATAGAAACGTTGAAAGTTCCATTTGTCATGAACCAGGTGTACTGGTTCCTGGGGATCCTGACCATCACGGAAATGGGTGCATTCGTATTCTCCCTCATGTTCGAGTCCCCGTTCCTGGGACTGGAGAAGGTCATCTTCCCCCTCTTGGACGAATGGGTTCTCGCTCCGATTATCTCCTTTGCTGGCTTTTTTGTCAAAGCAATAAAGTCCAGACGTTCCAGGTCTTAAATTTGCCTTTCAAATCAAGTCCAATCTCTACATATCGATCGGACATATCTATCACGAAACAGAAACGAAATAGGAATAAAATGGTGACTGCTTTATTAACTTGATTAATATTATTATTATTAATTATAATTTGGCAATTTTCGCAGAAACAAGCTCATGTATTTAATACCTCGTATAAGGTCATATATCACAACTATCGTCGCTTCATTCCGTTGAAGAAATCGGTGCGATGACCACTCCAGATCCATCCTCCATCCATGAAAAATATGTGACCACTGCCATCAGCTAGAACTTGGCTCACTCATGAGAGTAAAAATGAGTAACCAGGAGGTATTCCTCCCCAAGTCCAGCAGAGACCACCGAAGCTCCGCCCAGTGAATGAGTTTAAATTCGACCGAGGTGCCGACTCAGTAGCAGGTCTGCCATTCAACTGGTCAATGTTCCTCTGGTCACCATCGACGCCTTTTTGAGACCAGATCTGCTACCAAAAATATTATCGGAGGAGCTTGAACTAGTTCTGAAAATACAGTAACTTGCACAGATGACCCTAACTGCAATGGATGCTACGGTAATTGCGAATCGACTGAATGGAAAACAAATTTTTCCAGAACAAACTCAAGATTGGTGGAGATAAATAGATTTGACCTTGGTCAGGAGAGATTGTCTATTGACTTCAATGGCTGGGAAGTTATTTTTTCTCCTTCTTCAGTCTTCGGGTAGTCAGCATGGGCGACGGGAGAAGAGTAAAATCCAGACAAGACATCGCACATCTTCAGCTACGAGGCTGAATTGAGGCTTTCTATTGGCCAACAATGGACCCCTCGGCCTGGAAGGCAGCCCTCGTCATTGACGTAGCACAGCGACCAAGGCCAGTCGCAGTTCATGCACCAGGGTTTCTATGGCAACTACGGACAGACTGAATGATATCGGCAAATGAATACAGAAAGTGATCAGCCCACCGCAATTGGTCAGCCATTTTCTCTGACGTCACTATGTAAATTGTAGGTAGGTAAAATGTAACTAGCCTTGTAGTTTCCGGCTTCAATCACAGAAAAAGGGGGGGAGGGGGAAGGCGGCAGAAAGAAAGGCATCTCCGTATACAAAAGAAACCTCCAGAGTGTGTCGCAACAATCCCTACCACGCAAGTGACTCCTTTTTTGACAATGGTTCTTTACGAGCTTTTGTGTTCAAACCTACATGGGGAATCGATGAGATTATTCTGGAGAATAGAAATTGGGAGCGATTTCTTGCCGAATGAACCAATTTTCAGCTTCGACTTCTATTTGAAATCCTTCCTGAGGGGCAAGATATAAAGGAAACATAGGTGACATTCCAACAGACTAGAAACAGAAACAAAATACTGAGTTTTCAAAGAAACGAAACTGAAACGAAAGAATATCCGTTTCTTAACCTAGCCCTACCTTTATGCTCCTTCCTGCTAAATATTTTAAGTATTTGATATCTTATTTTGGATGACAAATTTCATAGCAAACCAAACTTAAAGTGAGTATTTGCTCTATAGCAGTAAAAGTCTGGATAAGATATGAAGAACCAAGTCGGTTCACAGTTCGCGGACGGTTCGCAGTTTCTCAATGCACGTCTGGGATTCCCAGTTCAGTGTCACGCGGAACACTCAAAACAAAGTCCATGGTGAAATCGACTTTTGATCAAACAACACTCGAGCGGGTGCAGTTTCGCAATGGAGTGGAAGGGATGTTGCGCGGGTATCCTGTTCTTCAGACTTGCCGCCGCAGGGGTCCAGGCCAAGCTTCATCATCCAGAACTCCTGCCCATTGCCCTGGGGGGTCACAACTCGGGCTCCGGTCTGAGTCCTTCGTCTCGCATTGCCAGGGATTCTTTAATCAGGAGTCGGGTTCTTCGGGGATGGGAGGGAATCCTTCGTCGGCTGCCGGATCTAAAACAGGGTTTGCATCCTTCTCATTTTTAACTTTGAAATATCCATGTCCAAGCAATTCACTCCAGCGAAACTAATGAATTAGTTCCATGGACGTTTCCTTTCTTTTTAAAAGCCGATGGGAAACGATTCTCGATTGGATTATCTGCACAAGCTACTGTAGAAGTTCTGCGACAAGTTCGTCGACATTACGAAATTTTATCGTTTTGCTTTTACAAAGTTGTCACAATTAATCCAAAATGTAATGAAGTAGTTCTAAATTTCTTTTCAAACGGCTTTGCCATCGAAGAATTTTGGGATCAACGAAGGAAACACATTCATCTGATTTATCGACTCTTCCGTGGCTGCAGATGCTGTCATGGACCACCCGAAACGGTTC